CCTGCGCTGCCTTCCCCGACCAGCAAGCCCCAGGGACGTCCGCGGAACTGCCTCCCGACCTTGGCTGGTTTCCGGAGCCGAATGGATTGGCACCGATTCCTGCCAAGGCCTGTGTCTGGGGTGAGGCCGTGCTGCTTGTCGTGACAAGGTTTGCAAGCTGTCTGCACAGGGGCCTGTTCTTCTTCAAAATGTTTTTATTGATTTCAGAGAGGAAGGGAGAGGGAGAGAGGGATAGAATGTCAATGATGAGAGAGAGTCATTGATAGGCTGTCTCCAACCCCCCCACTGGGCATGGAGCCCGCAACCTGGGCCTGTGCTCTGACCGGGAATCGAACCGTGACCTCCTGGTCCTAGGTTGACGCTCAGCCACTGCGCCACGGCGGCTCGGGCAGAGGGTGGTCTTCCTAAGACAGTGTCCTGTCGTGCGCCGGGGAGATGAGCCACAGGGCGGTCTCAGAAGAATGTTCACCACGCGCAGTGGGACCGCACCAGGGGCCCGGGGCGGGGGGGGCACCTCTGATGAGAGACCCTTCAGCTCCCGGAACCCAGGAGGTTGGACTCATTGGAGCCGCAAACAGGCTCTGGGCCCTGGCAACACCGTCGTCGCTGGAACCCATACAGAACGCCGACCCGTCCCCCAGTGGCGGGAACGGCGGCAGTGGGAGGAGACGACCCCCCCTCCGGGGCTCAGGGCGCCTGAGGTGCACGCCGTCTCAGCGGAGCCCTCAGGGCTGACAGCGGGCCCTTTCCTGTAACGGAGGCGGCGGCGGAGCACCTGGCCCTCCTGGGGGACAGAAACTCGGGCACGGAGGCCGCCTCCGCTCTGCGCGCACCCGTTACACGGCCGCCTTGTGTTTAGACTCTTCACAACGGAGGCTCTTATGTGTCCTTCACGGTCACTCATCCTCTCAGCTGATGCGCGACCGTCCCCGACACGCGATGCCCAGGAACTCATTTTCCACAATCGCCCAGCGACAACCAGGGGTCCCCGGTCTCCGCGAGGACAGGCC